GCTTAAGTCTGGGTAGTACTTGATAGACTTAAATTTTGCCCTCTTTAACATCCTAAGTTGTATTCCATCTGGTCATTGCTTCAATTAGCTGAAACTTCTAATCTGAGAGTGGAGTTGTAATGGAACAGGATACATTGACAGTTGACCTAGGGTAGCTGAATTGATAGTGCTGTAATATATAGCACTTTGGTCACATTCTTTGTTAAGTTTAATTAGTTCTAGAGTATTATATACGTATTAATTCCAATATACACAGTTATTTTTCATGATTTAATATCTCTCAAATTGTAATATGTCATATGATTGATGGTATCTTAGAGTTGCTGTGGCTAGGTGGCAGTCGTGACATAGTTTTTATTACTGGCACATGCACAAAATAGTGATGGCAGTTCATAGTTTCATCAGTTCTGTGAGGTATGTGCATAGATGGTACTATATATGTGGAATTTAAATGTGGTGCAAAATATCTTCAGAAAAGATATGGTGCAATTTATCATTGAAACAGTTATTATGGAGGAACGAAGAGAGAGGACTCACACTACCTGATTTCAAGACTTAATATCAAGCTGCAGTAATCCACACATTGTACTAATGATGTAAAGATAGTTAGATGAATGAAAATAATGGAGACTGCGTAAATGGGCCTATACTATTTTCGACAAAAACGTCAATGCATTTCAATTGAGAAATGAATGCCTTAGCAATAAATGGTACTGGAACAATTGGATAAATATATGGGTGGAGAGGAATGATTCTCAGCCATTACCTAACACCATACACAAACATTTTTTAAGGTAGATTATACACACAAACTTAAAAGCTAAAACTGTAAGGCTTCTAGAATAAAGCATAATAGAATGTTTTTGTGACTTTGAAATAGACAGTGTTTTTTTTTGTTTGTTTTTTAAAGAGTGAACCATAAAAAAAAAAGAAATTTTAAAACTTCTGTTCATCAAAAGACACCATTAAGAAAATAAAAAGGCCAGCCACATGCTGGGAGAAAATCTTTTCATTGCACATTTCTAACAAAAGGTTTGTATCTAGAATCCTGTGTGTCAGTATTTTTAAAAATCCAATTAAAAATAAGCAAGAGATAATGATACTCCACAAAAGAAGGTATACAAATGGTCAATCAGCACATGAAAAAAAATTCTCAGTATCATCAGTTGTTGAGGAAGTAAAAATTAAAATGATGTTGAGATACTATTTCACATACTCGTTAGAAAGACTAAAATTCAAAAGACTAGAAGTCTCATACATTTTTAGTGGAAGTATAAAATGGTTCAACTGCTTTGGAAAACTTCCTGGCAGTTTCTTATAAAGTTACACATAACCCCATGAGTCACTCAAACGTATTTACATAAGAGAAATGAAAGCATGTGTTCACAAAAACACTTATACAGGAATATTTGTTAGCTTTACTTGTAATAACCCAGACCTTGAAACTACCCTGCTATATACTGAACATTTGTGTCCCACAAAATTTATATGTTGAAACTTAGTCACTAATGCCAGGGTATTTGGGAAGAAATTAGGTCATGAGGGCTCTGTCCTCACAAATAGGATAAGCACCCTCATGAAAGTGGTCCCAGAGAGCTTCCTTGCTCCTTCTGTGATATGAGGACACAGCAATAATACAGTTTACAAACCAGGAAGTGGGACCTCACTAGACACTAGACTTGCCAATATCTTTATCTTAACTTCCTAGCCTCCAGAACAGTGATGAATTCCTGTTGTTTACAAGCCACCCCAGTCTATGCTATTTCTATTATTGTATCCTGAATGTACTAAGACACACCCAAATATCCACTAGCAGGAGAATGGTATTTTCTTACAATAGAATTCTACTTAGCAATAAAAAAGAATGAACTACTGATACATCCCACAGCAGGTATGATTATCAGAAACATTACATTGAATGAAAGAAGCCAGGTACAAAATAATACGTCTGGTATATGAGTGTGTGTATATAAATTCCCAAAACAGAAAAAACGAATGGAAAGCAGAAGAGTGGTTGCCTGTTGGGAAGGGGAATGGCATTTGACTGAAAGGTATATAAGAAAACTTTCTGGTTGATGCAGATGTTCTTTGTCTTGATTGAAATAGTGCTTATACTTAGTATACGTTTATCAAAACTCATCTATTTGCGCATTTCACTTTATGTAAATTTTATGTCAATAAAAATGTTATATATTAAAAAATACACTGAAATGAAGCAGTGGAGTGCAGATTTGATACTTGAATTCTTCCACATTAGAGGAATGACATTCCCATTCTTTCTTTCTTTTTTTTTTTTCTCCGAAGGCAGTCTCACTCTATCACCCAGGCTGGAGGGCAGTGGCGTGATCTCGGCTTGCTGCAGCCTCTGCCTCCCAGGGTCAAGATTCTCCTACCTCGGCCTCCAGAGTATCTGGGATTACAGGCGCATGCCACCACACCTAGCCAATTTTTGTATATTTAGTAGAGACGGGGCTTCACCATGTTGGCCAGACTGGTCTCGAACCGCTGACCTCAAATGATCCACCCACCTTGGCCCCCTATAGTGTTGGGATTACAGGCATGAGCCACTGCACCTGGTCCTAATCCCATATTGTTTTTTGCAAAGCAATAACCAAGTGCTTTATGGAACCTAAAAATGGAAGCTAGCAATAGTAGATGAACCTATTTTGCCTGAGATACATGTGAAACAATTACCTGTTACACACATCCAGCAGTGCAGCCCAAGCCAGAAGAACTAACCAGTTTTCTGGAGGGATGACTGTGATTTATATAGAATATCATAGTTTAATTGGCAGTATTTTTTTCCTTTCATAGTGGTACAAAATAATGGTGTAGCTCACAATCATTGATGTCTTAGATTTGATGAACTGCAGTAGGGTGAACAGGTAAAATTATATTGACTCTGTGGAATACTAATCTTTTTTGTAGACTTAACTTTAGGGAAGAGGTCATAAGATCTATCTTTATGTTATCAAATGAGATCTTTGCTGAAAAGCGTTTTGAAATAAAGCTTTTTTAAAATTTCTTATAGAGATGACTGCAATTCTAAGAAAATACGTAGATATAATCAGAAGTTAACATGCTACAGTATCTAAAAATTCTAGGATGGTGGTTAATTGTAAAAACATGTTAATGTTTCTAAACTTTTATAAAACGTATCAACCAGTGTGTAGACATGTAGATGCTGTGTAACTCTTATTTCTTAGGCATCAGAAGTTGAAACAGGTGTATAATAGACTTTTTATTAGTTTGGTATTGTAATAGATCACCCTTTTGTATGTATTTTGTATTCTAGTCATATGATTAAAGTTTATAAGGAATTTTTTACAAGTAAATTTAAACTTTAACACCATGTTAAAATTTCAGAAGCCAGAAAAGAGAGAGATGCAGTCTTATATTTAACAACTTAAACATTTCAAATCCCATGTAGTTACAGATTGAGATAAAACAAAGCATTTCTCTTGGCAGTAGAATCCCTTTGTTCTGTGTTGTGGAACATAAGTTCAAGAGGGCAGGGACTATGTTTTGTACTACTATATATTATAAAACTTACAGCACAATATGTTGCACATATTATTAACTTAAAACATTTTTGTTGTGGCTTTTTATTAGAACACAATTTCAAACAATGCACACGTATTAAGTTTTCTAAATAATGTGTTTCATTATTCAAAGTATTAGTACTGCCTGGCATTTTCTAAGTGAGCTTGATTAATAAATAAACCAAATGCCACAGGAAGCAAATGATTATCTGGGGGAAATTTTTAAATGATATAGAAATCTTAACTTTTTAACCAAATGTAAAATGGATGTGAGATCAGCTCAGAAACAAAGTTCAGTATCATCGTTATCACCATGAACTAAAAACTTTCTAGACAATAAAATTAATATTACCTTCTAATGAATCCAATATGTGGAATTGAAGTTTTTCAGAGAACTCTAATTAGCACAAGTTCTCCTGTGCTTTTTGGTCCTTTCACTCTTTCATCTCTTAAACGTTAGAAGCAGAATGATACTTTCAATATATTGATTGTATTCTCTCCATTTTATTGGAGAGACTAGATCATAGCTAATAAAATATGCTATTGGACTGTTAGGATTATGTATATATTTAGAAAATAAGACTTCTAAAATACTTTGTGAACACTAGCCAATTTTACAGGTGGTAATAGCTATCCAGATTGCTAAGTTATTTTTAAAAAAGAGTATCTGTCTTGAGAATGGATCCACATAAATAAGTTGATAGATGCCACTAGTTGATAATAATAGCAGATTATCAGCATACACTGATTTAATTTTCTTTTCTTTTTTTTTTTTTTTTGAGACAGAGTCTCGCTCTGTCTCTCAGGCTGGAGTGCAGTGGCCGGATCTCAGCTCGCTGCAAGCTGTGCCTCCCAGGTTTACGCCATTCTCCTGCCTCAGCCTCCCGGGTAGCTAGGACTACAGGCGCCCGCCACCTCGCCCGGCCTAATTTTCATACTTTAAAATTTTCAAGGCTACTCTGAAGTTTGATGGTATTTTTGTAATTTTGCTGAAGCATAAAATTAAAAAAAAAAAAAAAAAGTGTTTTGTTAAGCTCCTGGATAGGCTAAGTCACAGAGTAAAGAAGCCTGGTAGCCACAACAACTTTTTCATTTCAAATTGCTTTTTGATTTCTAATAAAATTCCTCTTTATCATGAAGTTTCCCTCTAATAGAATTTGAGAAATTAAGGATTAGTGTGGAGAATGCTAAGTGCTAGTTGAATGAATATAAATTGTGTGTTGTTACACACACACAGCCCCCAACTTAGGGTCTGAGTGAGCTTGAGTTCTGTTTGGTGTACAGAGGAAAGACCTATACTCTCCATGAGCTGTACTTGCAGAGCAGGTTTATTTAAAAACAAGCATCTTTAGTTTAAAACAAATTAATGTTTAAAAAATTATTTCAAGTCATAGTTTATTTTCCCATTTTCATCACATGGAATACATTTGGCTTTTTCTCATCTCTGTTTTTTCAAAGATTTGTCCCATCAGATGAAAAGAAGAAACAAGGTTGTCAACGAGAAAATGAAACTCTAATACAAAGAAGAAAAGACCAGATGCAACCAGGGGGCACTGCAATTAGTGTCACAGTACCTTATAGAGTAGTAGACCAGCCCCTTAAACTTATGCCTCAAGACTGGTAAGATAGTCTATATATATATATATATATATATATTTCTTTCCACAGGTGTTGAATCCAAGAGAATGAGTGTTATTATTGCTGTTGATGATGTTGCTTTTTAACAGATGGGGTCTCACTATGTTGCCCAGGCAGAACTTGAACTCCTGGGCTCTATCAGTCCTCCTGCCTCAGGCTCCCAAGTAGCTAGGACTACAGGTGCATGCCACTGCACCTGGCAGCCTATATTTTTTAAATATTTGTTTGTTTTCTGTGTATTGTTGGTGATTTTTTCTTGTGTGAGCAACTATCAAATTTTATCATGGGTTCTAAATAGGAACTGTCTTTGAAAAGTATGCTAATGTATATTTAGTTTGGTCATCAATAATGTTAACATTCTAATAATTCCTCAATAACTTTATATTTTGGATAGGTAAACTTGATCTTTGATGTTACTATTGAAATTGTTTTGGGCACCACAAACTACACCCATATAAGATGGCAAACTTAAGTTGATAACTGTTGTTCTGACTGCCCCACTGACCAGTTAGTCCCTCATCTCTCTCTCTCTCTCTTCAGGCCTCTCTTTTTCCTGAGACACTGCAGTATTGAAATTAAGCCAATTAATAACCCTACCGTGACCTCCGAGTGTTTAAATGAAAGGAAGAGTTGCATATCTCTCATTTTAAACCAAAAGTTAGACATGATTAAGCTTAGTAAGGAAGGCATGTCAAAAGCTAAGACAGGCCAAAAGCTAGGCCTGTTATGCCAAACAGTTAGCTAAGTTGTGAATGCAAAGGAAAACTTCTTCAGGGAAATTAAGTCTTACTTCAGTCAACACACAAATAATAAGAAAGCAAAGCAACCTTATTGCTGATATGGGGAAAGCTTGGTTGGTATGGAAAGCAGATCAAACCAGCCATAATATTCTGCTAAGCCAAAGCCTGATCCTGAGCAATGCCCTAACTCTCTTCAGTTCTATAAGACTGAGAGAGGACAGAATTCTGCAGAAGAGAAGTTGGAAGGTAGCAGTGGATGGTTCATGGATTTAAGGAAGTAAGCCATCTCTATAACAAAGAAGTGTAAGGTGAAGCAGCAAGTGCTGATATAGAAGCTGCAGCAAGTTATCCAGAAGATATGGCAAACATTATTGATGAAGTTGACTACACTAAACAACACATTTTCATTGTAGATGAAACAGCCTGTTATTGGAGGAAGATCCCATCTGGTACTTTTATAGTTGCGGAGAAGTCTGCTTTGGCTTCAAGACATCAGAGGACAGACTGACTTTTTGGTTAGGGGCTAATACAGCTGGGGACTTTGAGTTGCAACCATTGGTAACTTACCATTCTAAATATCTTAGGGCCGCTAAGAATTAAGCTAAGTCTACTCTGCCTGTGCTTTAGAAATGGAACAACAAAGCGTGAATGTCAGCACATCTGTTTACAGCAGGGTTCAGTGAATATTTTAAACCCATGTTGAGACCTACTGCTCAGAAAGAAAGATTCCTTTCAAAATATTAGTGCTGAATGACAGTATACTTAGTCACCCAAGAGCTCTGATGGTGTTCAAGGAGACGAATGTTGTTTTCATGATTACTAACACATCTATTCTTTAGCCCATAGATCAAGGAGTAATTTAGACTTTTCAGGATTTATTATTTAAGAAATGAGTTTTGTAAGGCTGTAGCTGCTATATATAGTGATTCCTCTGATGGATCAGGGAAAAGTAAATTGAAGCTTTTCTAGATAAGATTTACCATTCTAGATGCCATTAAGAACATTTGTGATTAATAGGAGGAAGTCAAAATATTAACATAACCAGAGTTTAGAAGAAGTTGATTCCTACCTTCATGGTTCATAGATGACTTTGAGGGGTTTAAGACTTCAGTGGAGGAGATAAAAATAGGGTGTGGAAATAGCAAGTGAACTAGCATTAGAAGTGGAGCTTGAAGATGTGACTGAAATGCTGCACTCTTATGCTGGAACTTGAATGGATGAGGAGTTCCTTCTTACAGATGAACAAAGAAAGTGGTTTTTTTGAGATGGAATTCACTCCAGTGAGCACTTTTGTGAAAATGCTGTAAACATTGTTGAAATGACATCAAAGGATTTAGAACATGACATAAAGCATCAGAATTTGAGAGGATTAACTCCAATTTTAAAGGAAGTTCTTCTGTAAGTAAAATGCTGTCAAATATTATCCCATACTTCAGAGAAATCTTTTGTGAAAGGCAGAGTCAATCAGTGCAGCAAACTTCATTGTTGTCTTACTTTCAGAAATCGCTATAGCCACCCTAACCTTCATCAACCACCACACCCTATTCAGTCAATGGCCATCAACATTGAGGCATAATCCTACACCAGCAAAAAAATTAGGACTTGCCAAAGGCTCAGATTGTTAGCTTTTTTTTTTTAGCAAGAAAGTACATTTTAATTAAGGCATGTACATTGTTTTTTAGACATAATGCTATTGCACACTTCATATAGACTCTGATATGGTGTTAATGTAACTTTTATATGCAATGAGGTAGGAAATATGTGTAACTCACTGTATTATGATACTTACTTTATTGCGGTGGTCTGGAACTGAACCCACAATATCTCCAAGGTATGGTTGCACTCTTGTATTTCTGTGATAACCTCCCACCCTTATAGTCTTTTCTTATTGTCCTTCACTGGACCATGTGTATTTTATCTTACCTTATTCCTCATTTTAGTCTCCAGTGGCTGGCATGTATAAACCCTGAATGTTTTTAAAGATAATATTTTAAAAGATCACTTTAGTTATAATGTGGCTTCAGTTGATAGAAGAAAGTTTTTTTTTTTGGTTTTTTTTTTTAAATTTTGAATAAAAAAATGATTACTTCTCTCCACCCCCTCTGTAGTTAAAGCCTTCCATCTGAAGTATGATGAAGTTCGTCTGGATCCAAATGTTCAGAAATGGGATGTAACAGTGTTAGAACTCAGCTATCACAAACGTCATTTGGATAGACCAGTGTTCTTACGATTTTGGGAAACATTGGACAGGTAATTCTGATTCCAAAATATGCTTATGTGTGTATTATTGTAATTTTTCTGTCTTAGTTAAATTTTAAGTTGCATAAATTTGTCAGTCTTGTTCTCTAATTCCCTTCTTTTAACATTAACTTGATGCTTATCTGTAGTAAATAACAATTTTTTTTATATAATTACTTTAGATGGAGAGTTTAATATAGCCTGATAGAAGTAACACTAAACTGAGTCAGAACTTAGACTTTAGTCTTGGTTTTGTAATCTGTCTCTAATTATCTGTGCGATCTTTTTGAACCTTATTTTCTATCCAAGGAACTTTTGATTAAGAGAACCCTATGTTTTTTTGCAAGTACTGAGAGATCTCTGATTCTGGATTTATGTTATGGATGGTTCACAAAAGGAAATGAATTTTTAAAATTTATTTTAATTATTAGTGTAGTGTTCATAAAGCCCTTTACATTAATAAAAGTTTTGTAATTGGCAAATTTAAGAACAGCATATGATCACAGTAAATACCACTGAATCGGTTCTCTTTGAAGTATGCTCCTTAAAGTCTGTAACATTCTTGGTGCGAGTCTCTCACAATATATGTCAAACATATATATTATTTTAGCTAGAAGCTCTTAGATTATATTACTTAATAAGAGGAGTGTTATTTCTAGCTTTTTCCAGAAGTCTTTATATTTCCAGTTTTCTAGAAAACAGCATTTTATTCTGTTGATTTTAAGTTTTAAGAAATGTCAGCCTGTTTTACATACATTAATCTAAAAATTCTAAAATTCCTATAGTCATTATAACCTACCATATTTTTTTTCAGGTACATGGTAAAGCATAAATCCCACTTGAGATTCTGAATTGTTTGGCTCCTCCATTTCTGGAAATTGAGACTCAAGCTTTATGAATTTATCAAGAACTTAAAAATGAAGAAGGTCACAGATTGATCTTTTATAAGACCTTATTTGATGCTTTGTGCTTCAAGGAGATGATGCCTGTCATCCATATAAGCAAACTTTTTGGCTTACAACTATTTTTTTAATATTAGCCTTCTAGTCTGTAATGGAAATTGTATATTTTGATAGAAGTTTTTTCTCCATTGGTTAAATTAGCATTACTTAAAATTTGTTTTAGAAAATAAATGCAGGTTATAAATGTGTGTATATTTAGAGATTATAAGGCTCTCTGAGCCATCTTCTGATTTTTCATTGCTCTATAATTCTTTTTACTAAAAATACTATGTTGTGAATGGTATTAAATTTTAGTCTCTGGAACATCCAAAACCAAGCAAAGGGATGTGACTATTTTGAATGAATCAAAATGTCAAAACCTGTATGTACACTATATCTACACTTACTCTTTATTTAAAAAGAATGATGAAAAATCAAGAACAATTCTTCAATTTGAACTGTTCAGCCTTTCCAAGATTTCTTTATTTACAAATGATTACATTTAAATGAATGCACATTCTCACTGACTTTGGTGATTTTGAAACCTAGAATGATGTGTTTCTATCTGTGATATCTTTCCATTTGAAAAAAATCTCAAAACACAGATTAAAACCACAATAGGCTGTAGTATTTTTTATTTTGGGAGCCAGAGTATGATTTGGGGAAAGAATATGTATCAACCCTATTGCAGTATAACTTTAAGCTACTTTTTTCTTTAGTCCACCTTTGATTCTAATTTTTATGGTATAGGATTTTGAATCTTCTATTTTAGGCTTGTCAGTCTTGGAGTTCTTATCTTCCACTATCCCTAAATATTGATAAACTCCTAGGCACCAAAGAAAACATTTGCTTAATTGTCTGAAAAGAAACAAGAGAAAAACACTGGTATTTTTATGTGTGTATTCAATATGGTGTAAAATATGAAAACTATATTTTAACTTAGTAAAATATTTTACTATTTCTCTACTTTAGATAAAATGTTGCATCCAAGGTACATCAAGTGACCATTTTCCTTGAACCTTTTTTTTTTTTTTTTAAACTTAAAAGCAACTAGGAAGCTTTGCTTTCCTAAACTGTTTTTGCCATTGGAATTTTTGCTGATCACAGTCTTATGTCATTTTTTTCCTCCATTTTTATTCCCAGCAGTTTTCTCCAAGGTTAACATATTTTTGGTAAACAGGCCTTTCATAGGTATTAAGCTGACATTATCTAGCTTCTTAATGAAATTTAACACTGTCACAAAAATGGGAAGTTACTATTTTTTAAGTAGTCACATAGTTCATACCACTAGTAACTAGAAAAGATGTTTATTCACGTGGTATTTACGAGGCTCTTCAGAAGAGAACAGTCAGCATTTTAAATTACTAGATTTTAGCATACTTACAAGGTTTGAACAGATTCTACCCCTATTTTCCTACCTTCTTAGCATCTTCTTTCCTTAAAGATAAAAGAAAAATTTGTTCACATTAGGCTTTCTTAGCATATAAATCTGTTTCCAAAATAAATTACATGTTGTGTAAACTTTCTCCATGATGAAATAGTCAAGGACCAGAATCTGTGATATTTTTATGTAAGATTACTTGTCAAGACTACTACAAGTCAATATGAACTACCTTCCCATAAAGATTTTTGGTATTTGTACTTATTTATGAACTTTACTGGATACGGAATATGGTTAAAATTAGGAACATCTACTTTGAACGAGGTTTATTTTTCTATTTTGAATTTGCCTTATGTATATTCAAAGGCTTATGGAAATACTGTAAAGGAACATTAGGAAAAGGACAAATATGCTGTAACCATCTATCTTAAAATCAGACCCTTAGTATAAGTACCTCTTTTCTCTTTTTCTCTTTGATAATTTAGTCACTTATTTAGGTCCATGTGATTAATTTCATTCCATTATTTTTTAGCTGTTTATGCTAAAAAACAAAAATTTTCAGCCAGTCCCTATTTATTCCCCCATGCCATGGTCCTATATAGCAGTACTTAACACAGTGCCTTGCACATAGTAGGCATTCAGTAAATACTTATATGCATGAATGAATAATGTATTTTCAGTGTAACAGATTTATTATAAAAGTGTAGTTTGACTCTACTTTGTCTTGGAGTTTGAGAGTACAGAATTACAGGTAATGAAGAGAGGTATAAGTAGATATTTTACTGGAAATGAAGTATAAATTAATGACTTGACTTACCCGTCCATAAGTTACTGCTAACTGGAGATACCCTTGTATGCCCAACCTGTAAAGGAAAGTTCTATTTCTATACTCATAGGACATTCTTCTCAGTCAGGGAACAGTAAGAAATATGTAGGTTTCACTCAGTTGCTCTCAACCCTGACTGCATGTTAGAATCATTTGGAGAGTTTTTAAAAATACCTATGCCTGAATCTTGATTCCCATTTTCATGTAATTTGAGACAAGACCTGGTCATCAGTATTTTTTTTTTTAAGTTCTCCAGGTAATTTGAATGTGCAGGAAGGATTCAGAATCACTGGTTTAATTTGTTATTGAAAACAATGCCAGTATTAAATGTGTTTCCTCTTCCTTCTTGTCTGTATATGTGTGTGGTTTTTGTTTTGTTGTTTTGTGACCACCCTTTGCACTAGACCATCCCTGTTATTGGTGGTATTGGCCTGTATTCCCATTGACAAATGCAATTTTAATTATTTATTTAATATAGAAGGAGTATTTTACTGTTTAATATTTAAACAATGTTTAATGTATTTCATTATTAACTAGTATTGTAGTTTGTTTTTTTCCCATGTCTCCATAACCTTTACTAACATTTGTTTTTAGCAGCACAACAGTAATCCTTATAGAAACAACTAATTTATAATGAGGAAAATCTCATAATTTTTAAGGCAGAAAGAAGTATTAATATTTGATCTGCCATGCAGAATGAGACAAATACAGTTTGCTTATGAAGGGAAAGTGGCGTACTTTTAAATTGGTCTACACAGAAAAGTACAAGTAAACTATTCATTAAAATAAGATTCATTATCTAATAAATATTGAAGGGAATATTTTTCCTAAATAAAAATTTTTGTGACTGCTAACAAAAATTAAAGTGATTACATTGTTCTTTTTTGGAGGGGTGGGAAGGAATATTTGTTGAACTAAAGTATATAAAATTTTTTGAGACTAGCAGTATATTTTATATTACAAATGCAACAGTTATTTATAAAAGCTGGTCAAATTAGGATTAGAAAGTAGCTTTAAACTTTGTGTTTTGAAATTGCTTGTTTAAATGCAAAATTATGAGTAAGATAAGTTTTTAAATTTTTTATTTTTAATTTTTTTGGAAGTTTATTAAAGCCCTTCATATACACATACTTTTTTAAAAAAAGATTCTTAATAAATAAATCATTGGTTTGTCTGGTTAAAGTCCATATACAATGCTGAGAAGTAATTTATAAAATAAGAACTATAGAAATTTGTTCTCAGCTGAAAAGTTGGCAGCTGCTCTTTTTCTTTAAAAAAGTACAACATGAAAATTTAATTACTTTAGCCTTAGTATTACTTGACTGAATTTCTACTATTTATTCACTTGTATTTGAGATTCACCCAGCTATTCTAATGAAAGAAATAAAAAGTGGAGAAATGACTGAAGTTGACTTAAGAATTGGAGAGGGAATTTTGAAATGACATGTCCTATATATCCTGGCATATTTGTTGCCACATTTGCAAGTATGTTGATCCCAGCATAGTTTATATCTGTTGGAATAATAACTAAGGAAAAATTGAAAATGTATAATGTATAAAGATTTATATTTAGTTAGTATATAATAGATAATAATACTTGCAGGTTTGTTATGTGTTTTGGGTTTCTGTGTATTATTTTAGGTAATCTTTATAAGGGCATCTTGGAAGTTATAAATATGTTCCATTTACTGAAAAGCGGTAAGCATTTTCATATGAGTAAAGCTAATGAAATAAAACTAGTTTTATTGCCAAAATTCAAAAAGTGGGGTTGATGCTATGTCGAATTTAAGCAAATGATCTAAGGATTTTGTTTGCCATTGAATTCCATTTCTATCCACTTTAAATTTACTGAACGTTATTTAACCTGATTTTGATAATAGTGCTTAATAAGTAATACAGTTCATGTACTTATAGTAAGCATTGTGAGTGATTTTTAACCACCAGTTGGTGCTATTTCTCAAAGTGGTTCCTAATTAGAGTTTAAGTTTGGGTGCCATGTGAACTGATAAAATATTCTACTCATTCTTTTTGTTTTTCCTTTGTTTTGTTTTTCATTCTGTTTGTTTTTGTTTGTTTTTGAGATGGAGTCTCACTCTGTCACCGAGGCTGGAGTGCAGTGCTGCGATCTCGGCTCACTGCCGCCTCCACCTCCTGGGTTCACACAGTTCTCCTGCCTCAGCCTCCCGAGTAGCTGGGATTATGGGTGCGTACCACCACACCTGGCTGTTTTTGTAGTTTTTAGTAGAGACAGAGTTTTACCATGTTAACCAGGCTGGTCTTGAACTCCTGACCTCAGGTGATCCACCTGCCTTGGCTTCCCAAAATGTTGGGATTACAGGCATGAGCCACCATGCCTGGCCTGTTGTACTCATTCTGATTCCAGTTTGGTGAGCTCTTAAATTTTAGGTTCAATTGTAAATAAAACATGTTGCCCAATTTTATGTTAAGTGCACTAGGGATATTTCCATTCTCCCTTTGTCTTCAATCCCCCAGAAACATTCATACCAAGAAGTTAGAAGCTGTATTGTGGGCTGGAATGTTATCTTTACATGAAAAGATTGAGATTTGTCAAGCATAGTATTTCTCTGAGGAATAAATGAAATATACATTTCACTTTGAAAACTAATGAGTTAAAGTCATTTATAGTTTCTGCTAATGAGTTAAATAATGTATAGAATCATAGTTCGTAGTGATAGCAAGTTTCATGCTCTGCTGAACTTACAGTTTGATTATGGTCAAATTTTCTATGTTATTACTGTAATAGAATTAAGAGTGTGTCCTGGTAAATTACATTACCTTTACAGTTTGAGCATTCTGATTTTAACATTTTATAGTTTCAAAACAAACTGTACTCATATAATCAGAGCATTAACAGCATCATTATGTCAGTGGTACCAATGATTGTGAATCTTCTGCAACAAAATTTCTTTAATGATGAGTTTAATGGGCTATATTCAAACTTAATTTTTATTCAATTCATAAGTGCCCACTAAATATGTATTTTATTCTGTTCTGTTCCTTTGATTATCTGCTTTTCAGTGAGCATCTGCATAGCTAAAATAGATATAGCAAGTGTTGTAAATGCTGTTGAATTTTTTTAAGGCTCAAAGGTGCTAGTGTATAAATAACAGCACATTGCCAAATAAGCATTTTTTTCTCTCATTTTCTAAAGTACTTTCATATTTAATCATGTAATGATCAGCATTTATGGTGAGTTGGAATAATTTTTCCTCTTTATTTTCTTAAATGACCCTAGAAAACATTATAAAGTAGCTCTGAAGAAGGCTTTGTTGTTGAATCTGTCTCATCATTACTTGTGCATCCTTTGACACATAATTATTTAATCATTTACCCTCATCTGAGAATGCTGATTTCTATTACATAATAGGGCTGAGACCATAGTGAAGCAGAAGACATTTGAGAGATACTTTTTATTATATTTGAATATTTTATTGGACTGTGATTATTTTGCCAACAAAGTACAAGTGAAAACACTGGGTTATACAATGTATTAACTTTCATATATAGTAATGGATACTCACAGAACAACTGCCTTCATGGAGTTTACAATGTTAATACTGTAAGTGTAATGGCCATCTATCTCTCTCTTTTAATTGATAACTAATACAAACATTTTTCTTTAAAATGGAATAGTTTGAAAGTGTTTATCCAGTCAGTGTAAATGGTTGGGGGAAGATCAAGTGAACTTCCTTGTGGCTCATTCAGTTGTTTTAGCACAATTCAGCATCACTCATGTTTTTAAAGGGCTTGACTATATCACAATTTTAAAATATTTGTATTTTTAGATAATGTATTTTTATTCCATAATGCACTACTGAGGACAAAAAGGAAGTATAAGGGTCACTGATGATGAAATAAATTTGACATGCATTAAAGTAGTTTAAGGCTAAAGCAGTTTGATGTAGGAATTTGAGGAGAAGAAAACTTCAGCTTAATGGGAAAATACTAATTTGGACAGCGTTGTATGCTTCTGGGGTTGTCACGAATTTAAGCAAAGCTAGGCAAACTTAGTGTGATTTTTCTCCAGTGACATTTAGTTGCTGGATTTCAGGTATACAGAATTGCAGTTAGATTTTTAAGCTATTTTGATGGCAGTAGAAGCAGGCCACAGAGTTGAAGATGTTTTCAAGGTAATAATTGTAGTACTGAAAAATGGAATCTAAGCTGTTCAAGGAATACATGGTAGAGGGCAGGTGGTGAATGGTGAGAAAGTGTTGCTGTACTGTGTTCTGATAACAGTGAAGTGAGCCTGAAAGATAGGGGGAGGTGGTCAGAGGATGGGATGTGTGAAGTCAAGATTTCAGAGGTGATCTGATATTGATGAGAAAAAGTCAAGACCTTGGAAGTAGAGAGGGGGAGGTATTCATTAAAATGAGGAGTCAAGGATCTATGGGGCTGCAGTTACTCGTGTAAATGTTGAAATGAGAATGACAAGTATAGGAGTGAGAAGAAAGATGGCCACAAGGAGAAGGTAACCGGTGACTGGTTGGCATTAGCTTTACAGGATCCATGCTTTAAAAACTTTGATTAGGTATTTAAAGATGAATATTTAAAGATGAAAATATATTTAAAGATGAATTAATAAAATGTTAAAGGTATAGGTCATTTCAGTGCCTTTCTCCAACATCCAGATTGTTAAAAAAAGAATTAACATACTTGTCATTCATCAACAGCCCAGATGATGAGGACTTTTACCAAGACACTATTGACAGCCTTCCCACCCTCTGAGTCTTGTTTTCTAAATTTGCTCCCATATGAGGCTAGTTCTTGTATTCTTTGCTACTTTTGTAGCTTAGTGATACTGAAATTGGGTAAAACCTTTGTTGGAAAATCTGAGCTCTGCCCTCTAAGGTTTCATTAAGTGCCAGTGTTGGGGTCACTTTCCCCAGTTGTACATGCAACTCATTACTAAGAGAGAACATCCTGAGCGGTTCCCAGAGGTGGGTTGCTGGCTAAAAGGAATCCCTGGAGATTTTGGTGTGGTAGGAAAGGATTTTCATTCTTGAGGATTTTTCTTTGACTTTTCTATGGGCTGCAGATTTCCTCAGTTTGCTTTATTCTGAGTTTTAGGGGAGAATTCTTGGGAGGTTGTGAATTTTCTTTGCCTACAGTGAGATGGTTAGATGCTATACTGAATTTTATCTAAATCTTACCCGAATCCATTTCCATGTTAGCAAGCATGAAGTTGTTTACCTTTTTTATTTTGGCGATTGATTTTGAGTTTTTCCTTCTCAGTCACTCCCTTGCCGGTTCCTTAGATGTTATGATCCAGCTATGATCCAGCTTTACACTTTCACCCAGAAGTGACCTCACCTTTTCATGACAGAGGAAACAGAAGCCATTAAGAAACAGGACTTCTTAATGCTGTATCTTACAAACCCATATGCATGTAATAATCTTTTCTTTATTTCCTCCTATTCTGGTGTTTTAAACATCCAGTCACCCATCAGGGACTTGTCTATTCATACGTGTTTCTCCTATACCTTTCCTACTCTATCATACATTTTGCACTATTACTGTATCTCTTTCTTGTATTTCATCTTGTCACCCTGTATTTATTTATTTTCCATCCACTTTTAAACTTAGTTATACCTTTCATGGTAAACAGGTTCTGGGGAGATGGTTTGATTTTGTATCTTAAATTCCCTCCCCTCAATCGCTGTTTCCATCTGCCAGCTACCCTCTCTTGAATAGAGCAGCTGCTGTGAGCCTGGAGCCTTTGGGCAAATAAGAGTGTATACAGTCCCTTGATTCTACCAGAATATGGAAAGGAGAGCTTGCTTGTGAACTGAGAGCCTTGCTTTCAAAGCTACATGGATTTAGAGGAAAAGCAGTGCAG